TCTCAACCTATCAGCACATCTGTCCTCTCCAGTATCTCTCCCAATAGAAGCAAGGTTCTCTCTCCCGTCAACAGACCCAAGCATTAAGAAGGTCCCAAGCCAAGAAGAAAGTCAGATGACAGCTGTCTTCAAGAGCCCTCAGAGTGAGCATGGGAGAGGGCTCAGCATGCAAAGTGCAGGCACAAGCACCGTGGAAACACTAGACAAAGTATCAATGTCAGGGCAGGGCTGTGATGCTTGGGTGTGGACTCGGACGAACCCCAGAAGCTCTCGGGCCAGCCAGTCTGACCTACACAGCAGACAGCAGTGAACAAGATACACTGCCTCAAATGAGACGGTAGGCGAGGACTGACCTCCACACGCTCAAGGAGTGCACAGTCCTGCCTACACACACCCACACACACAGAAATTTTTAAAACTTAAAACGGAAATCAGGGTCAGTGAGATGACTGAGGGCTCTTGTACCAATCCTGAAGACCTTTCATCCTGGGGAACCCACATGGTAGCAGAGAAAGAACTGTACCCCATTCCACAGCTTGTCCTTGAACACTGGGTCACCGGAGTACATACACACACCACCTAAGCCAATGTAACAAACCCTTTATTGAGTCTAGGGACGTGGCACAATTTGTAGACTGCTTGCTTGGCAGGTACAAAACCCTGAGTTTGATTCCTGCCTTAACTTGGCGTAGTAGCATAAGCCATCTTCGGAGTTCCAGACAAGTTTAAAAAACAAAACAAAACAAAAAAACTGTGAGTCCCGATCTGCAATCCATACAAACCACATTCTCATACTGAAGCAAAGCCAAGCAAACAGCTGTCCTTTTCCGCCTATGAACAGTCCTTCGGTGACATTTAGCTAATATTCACGCCAACACACTGCAATGATCACAAAGACTCAGAATACTCGCTTTGCAAATGGGCAAGCTGAGATTAAGAGTCTGGTTTGTATTATTATTTATGTTTAAGACAGGTGCTCACGTAGTTCAGGCTGGTTGAAAACTTCAGTATGTAGCTAAGGGTGACCTAAATATTGTTTTAAGATTTACTTTTATGTGTGTGGGGTGGCGGAGAGCATATAAATATGTGTGCCTCGTGCCCGCGGTCAGAAGAGGGCGTGGGATCCCCTGAAATGGTTGTTAGTCACCTTGTGGGTGCTGGAAACTGAACTTGGGTCTTTTGCAAGAGCAGCCAGAGCTCTTAACCGCTAAGACACCCTCCCCGGCCCCGACCTAGAAGCTGGGTGTTTCTAGGGAGCGTGTTGGTACCCTCGACCTTTCTTTTAATCTGATCGCACGGCTTTCGGCGGCAGATTCTCTTCAGTCCCAGCTTTCTCCACTAATCCCTCAAGCCCCAGCTTCCTCCACTTTCCTTTACGACAGCTCCAGTGACCGACAGTGAAGCTGTGGGCTGTAGCCAATGAGGCACCGGTATGGGAGGGCCCTGGATAAGAGCGCAGCCCTGATTGGTAGCGGTACTTGGCAAATGGCGGAGGCGCTGAGGCGGGTGCTGGATGCAGGCAGCGCGGCAAGGCCCGAAGGGGATGGAACTACCGGGCCACCTTTGCTGCTGCTCGGCGCTCCGCGTTCCGCGCAGACGTCGCTGCTGTTTGCAGCCGCCCTTGAGGCGGCAGGGGAAGGCCGCGGGCCTGTCCTCTTCCTGACACGAAGGCCACTTCAGAGCCTGCCGCTCAACACACCCGCAGCGCGGGAACCCTGGCGGCTCCAGGTAACCGGAGGGCGCGGCCTGGAATGTGTCACCCAATGGCAGGATAGGTTGCGCATGAGTGGCAGGTCGGCAGGCCAATGGCACGACATAAAACCTATATGGAAGAGGAGGGTGGAGGAGGCGAAGTAGCCACGTGTGGCGTGGCTGTGCAGGTTTAGTTAAAATTAAAAGAAAGACCATCGTTAGCGAGCGTGGGCGCCCAGGAGATGCGGTCATGGTAGAAACCTTGGTCTAAACACTCTTCCTTCCTCTCCCTACCTCCCCCTCCTCCTTTCCCTATCCCCCCCCCCCCCATTTCTCTTACCCCTCTCTCTCCCTCCCCTTTCTCGCCTCTCTTCCCCCCTCAGATTCGGAGTTTCCGCAGTGTCAGGCCATCCTGCTACATAACGAGTTTTCAATCATCCTGGGTAACATGAGACCCTGTATCAAAGAAAAAAAAAAGAATCTTTACTTAAATAGTCTTGAGCCATGATACATGCTGGAAAAAGGCAGGTGACAGAGAAGGGCAAAGGCTGCTGGTGCTTCATCCTGAACTTTGTGTATGGGGCATGAGAGCCTCTACTGGGAAAGAATGTAAGAGCCGTGGCAGCCATAGTATGGAGTCTTGGCCTCCTATATTAAATAGTGCCTTTTCCTGTCTTCTAGAAGGTTCGATTCCAGTACCCATCCTCAGTTCCAGAGCTTCTCCAGCTGCTAGCCTCTGCCCATGAGGCCCCAGGGCCTGCCCCGTCGCTTCTACTGCTGGACGGCCTGGAAGACTATCTAGCAGAGGACTCAGGGGCCCAGGAAGCCGCCTACTTGGCTGCGTTGCTTCTGGATACTGTTGCTTACTTTAGCCACCATCTTGGAGCCAGTGGCAGTTGCGGGCTTGTGGTGGCCCTTGAGACCCAAAAAGAAGCAGATGGTGATGTCCCACATCTGACATTGCTTCAACGGTATTTTCCTGTGCAGTGCTGGCTACAGCCAGATGCCCTAGGCTTGGGACAGCAGTACTGCCTTCGAGCCAGCCTGGAGTCCGGCAAGCTGAGCCCCAGGATGGAGTGGTCAGTGACTTTCTTACCCAGTGGAGAGATGAAGATCACCCCATGGCCTACCCAGGCTTCTAAGCCCTGCTCAGATAAAAAAGATTCAAGTGCTAGAAGCCAGTCATTAACTTTGGCATGTGACAACCTCTCTGGTCCTCAGTGTCCCTTGGATAGAACACTTACTTCAGGGACAGGTGCAGAGTCAAAGACCTGAACAGTGTAGGTTTTCTTTTATAGACTAGCATTGTTGAGAGCTGGTGAGATGGCTCAGTAGGGAAGGGACCTTAACAACCTGCATGATGGCCTGACTTTGATTTCTGGGACCCACATAGTTGGAATCTAGCTGACTCCTGCAAGTTGTCTTCTGACCTTCACTCTTGGGTAGTGACACACACACACCCTCCACACTAATAATAATAAATAAATAATAAACCCTTCAGAATAAATAAATAATATAGTCATTGATGAGATTCAGCCACATTTCCTAGTTCATTTCTTTACCTGTTGCATTTGTTTCCCAGACAGGACCTTGTGTAGCTCAGGCTAGGCTGAGACTAAATTAATACTTAGCAGAGGCTATCCTTGAACTTATGATCCTCCAGCCCCATCTCTTGAGGGCAGGGCCTATGGAGTGTGCTCCCATACTTGATTCCTCTTGCCTATTCCATGGGTGCCTGTATCCGTTACCTCTGTGTCTCTGCTTACATACTGTCAGGGATTAATCATACACATGCCCTTGCACATGTGTGTAGGGTGTACGGCTGGGAGTGGAATCACTCCATATAGAGTATGCACATGTTTAGCTTTCTTAGGACATACATTTTTAATGCCATTAAACTGAATTTGAGCATGGTTATATGCAAAATGGTAGGCCCAGCTTTGGAACGTAGATGTAGGAGGTCACTGTCCACTCTGGCATACACTAGACCCTGTCTCAGAAAAACCAAAGTGGGCCAGGCTGTTAATCCTAGTACAGGGGCAGGCAGATATGTCTGTGTTTAAGGCCAGCCTGGTTTCAATGGACTGTTCAGGCCAACCAGGGCTACATAGTGAGACCCTGTCTCAAAGGCAAAACAAAAAAACTAGGGAGCCAGAGAGAGGGCTCAGTGGTTAAGAATTTTCCACAGGATGTGGATTCAGTTCCCAGCATTCCTATCAGACACAACCTTTGCAAGTACAGCTTCAGGGGATCTGATGTCCTCTTCTGGTCTCCTTGGACACTAGGCAAGAAGTGGTGAACATACATACATATAAACAGAACGCTCATGCACATAAAACTAAAGTATATAAAAATCTTTAAAACAACAAATCTATCCTGAAGGTAAGCTCAAGACTCAGTGTGTTGTAAAGGGGGAGGGTGAATAATTCATCCTGTAGCAGAAGCTCCTTAAACTCAGGAAGTAAACAACTCAAAGGCTTCAGGAAGTCCCCAACCCTCAGACAAGCTGAGCAGCTTGGAAAGGACGCTCTCCAACCTGTGGAACTGCCTGCAGGCTGTGCAGTGTGCACCAGGTTCCCAGCTCCGGGGTGGGCTTTGCCGATGCAGCTGTCTGAGTCATTTCCACTCCTGTAAGTGACCCCTCACCCATATGTGCAGGAATGCACATAACTCCAGTAAAACTCATTGGGTCACCAAATTGGACTTTGGTGGCATGCGTGCTTAGATCTGTCATAGTTTTTCTATCTGGGTGAATAGATGTTGGTTTGTGCCCCCCAGGAGCAGTGTGGATGAGGCACTAAGTCTCAGGTGGCTTGCGTTGGCAGCTAGGAAGTGTGCCCTGACTGTTGTGGTCACTATTCATGTGTGCCAAATCCACAATTTCAATCTTAGCACCAAGACTTTAGCTATGCTTTTCCATGGTCTAGGTTCAGGGAAAGATGGGGTTTGAGGGTTTTTACAGAGACTGTGGCAGAGCGCAGAACGACTGCACATGGGTGTGTGGCACACATGTGCCGTGTCCATGTGTGAAGCTCAAGTTCAGTTCCCAGCACCACGTTACCTTGGTGTGGTGAAACAAGCCTGGAGTCCCAGCACTCGGGATATAGAAGCAGGAGCATCACAAGTTCAAGGTCACCTTCAGCTACCACGTCTCAAGTCACTAAAATATGGGCTAGCAAGAGAATTCAGAGTAAAAGCATTTCCCATGCTAGTCTAGGAACATGAGTTCCACATCCCTGTAACTCACATAAGAAACAAAAAACCTGGTTGTGGTGTGTGGTTTGATGGAGCAATCCAAAGACAAGGTCAGAGGCAGAAGTCAGAGGAACAACTAGAAGCACAGACAACCAGCCTGGGACGTGAAGCATGGCAGGAACAAGGCGGTGGGAGGGAGTCGAATGCCATCCATGAGTTACACACACAAATCAGATACTACAGAGTGGTAGAAAAATTGATATGTATATATTTCTATGTACAGATAGATAACTGTCCACCTTGACACTGCAAGGCTGTTGCTTCCTGGGCAGGATGGGCTGGGTAGAGGACCAAGGTCAGCCGTGACTTTAAGTATGGCCTTCAGCCCTGTTCAAAAAGTTGTGGACTTGAGATCTCGTCGGCTGGCATCCTAGGAGCAGGCCATGTAGCTGGGGTGCAGAGGCTCTGGGTCCGGGACAAGGCTATTCTCATAGGGGTGGGAGTAGGGGCCATCAGATGCGTCCCCATGGACTCCCTGGGAGCTCCCCGAACTGTAATCTGTTGAGATGCCCGAATCAGACACCATAAGGTACAGGTACTTCAGGTGAGGTGGAGTGGGAGGCAGCTCAGGAGGTAGTGCCCGAGGGCAGAGGCGCTGGGAGTTGGGGTCCAGGATGGTGTACTCAAAACTCGAAGGTGAAGTGCCCTCTGGCCTGGGCTTCGAGGCCAACTCAGAGGGGCAGGAAGATGCTTCTGAGCCTTCATCCATAGTCACTGGGTCCACACTGTCCCCAGATCCCGAGAGGTCCTCACTGCATGGGCTCCGGGGCAGCAACCACTCATCCAATACCAGGTAGGTGTCCTGGGCATGCTCACTGCCCACTGGCTCCAGTAAGGGCCCCTTGTCATCTGCCCGTGTCTCCCCTGCCTGTGTCACCCCCCAGCAGCGCTCCGAGAGGACTTCTAGGTGGGCAGGCGGGTCCTCCGGGAAGGAGTTGCTTGGGCTCCACCACAGACAGCCGTCATGCTGCAACAGCCACAGCTGGGAAGAGAGCACCCTCCTGCTCAGAGGCCTGGGCTTGGCATGCGGTAGCAGGACAGCCCCAGGAGCAGAGAAGACAAACAGGTCACCTACCTGAAAGTTACCCTTGTGGGTAGTGAAGAGACCCTCAAACTCACTCTCTGGGCTTGGGATGCCAGGCCAGATCTTCTGCTTCAGAGTCCTGTTAAAGTTAGAAACAAGTTCATGGATGTGTGATGCTGGACACTCACCTGTGCCTTCTCGGGTCCCCCACCACAGTGACACCAAGGTTTCTGCAGGGGGTGAGGTCCTACAAAAGGGCGTCTGGGAAAGTTTTGAAGGATGCAAAGGAGTTCAGTGCAGACTCCCTCACACCCGTCATCTCCCTTTCCATAGGCTGAGGGTGGGATCCCCAGAACCACCAAAACACGTGCATGCGTGTGTGATTCCCAACAGAGTAAATACCCAGGGCCACGCAGGGCTGGCAGGATGTGTACTTTCTGGAAAAGTAGGACGAGCAAAGTTTTGAGTGCACTGGGAATTATAAATACCGCAGCATGGCTGGTCAGGTCATTAAAGCCACCGGGCTTAAATCTCTTCCATTAACTATCTGGTTGTTTTGACAAGGTTGACTACATCGGGAAATGGAACCCACAAAAGAATGCGGGAAGGAGCCACCGCTGAGGTCAAGAGAACTCTAGCAGGTGACTGAGAGAAAGGAAGTTCAAGAGTCTGGACGTGGTCTGGCTTGTATTCTATCACTGATAACTGGGTGACTCTAGGCCAGTGCTCACCCCTCAGCCTTGCTTTCCCTAGAGAGAGCTCTGAGTTAGCTGAGCTCGGATTGGGGGCTCACCGGCGGTGGGACAGCAGCGCCAACACTGCCAGCAGCATCGAGATGAGAGCGAGGATGAGAGACAGCGTCAGGATGAGAGGGTCCAGGTCTGGGAGACAGGAAGGAGGTCAGGGAGGTTTGCCGGGTATTTGGCCCACCTCGTTCTTCTCTCCGAGGAACTGGAGCCTCACCGCTAGCGGTCAGCAGCGACGCGGGCTCAGACCAGGCGCTCCAGAAGCCGCTGAAGCTCGGCTCTGCCATGCGCGCTCGAACTGCGAAGGTGTAGCGCGTCCCGCCCCTCAGGTTGCTCAGTACACACTCAGTGCGCCCTTCCAGGACCTCCACCTAGGGTTCGGTGGAGCCAGAAGAGATTTCACCAACTAGCACCAGTGAGAAGATGTGGGAGCTTGCACGGAGGCATCTAGTCAGCACCCTAATAATGGGAACGGTACTTGGGGGCACTCAAGTAACGGTATCAACTGACAAGGCCCGTTTTTTTGGCTCAAGACAAATCAGATCAAAGACCCCCAAAGCCAAGAGTTGACTCGGGCCATATAAAGGCAGAGTCAGACACCTCACAGAGAGCACCTCCTTGACATCTGAGGACGTGAACTAGGTTGTGAGCGGGGCTGAGGCCCGAGAGAAGCCTAAGCAAAGTGCGAGTGGGGGGAAAGTGGATGTGAGCTAACGTGAGCGCCAATTAGGTCTGGTGCCGCTCAGGAGACCCTAGTGGTGGAACGAGAAAGGCTCAGGAAAGTTGTTCTCTGATCTCCTCAAGTGCACAGTGGCGAGCGTGCACCCAGCACAGAAAAGAGAGCAATTTAAAAATAGCGACGGTTGGGGCTGGAGAGATGGCTCAGAGGTTAAGAGCACTGACTGCTCTTTCAGAGGTCCCGAGTTCAATTCCCAGCACCCACATGGTGGCTCACAAGTAGACAGAACCCTGTATAATATTTATTATAAACAAAACACAAACAGCGATGGGGACCTGAAGGAGTGGTACTTTGGGCCAGGACGCAGGGAGGTGGTTGAATGGACTCTCACCCTTTGCGTGCCCCCTGCCCGGTTGCCTGCCGACACGTCCACCTCGTAGCGGATGTGGGTGGTCATAGGTGCCCCAGGAGGTGGCAACCAGCGAAGCACCACGTGGCTGCCCTCCTCCGCCCGGCGCGCCAGCAGTCCCGCAGGGGCGTCCAGGAGCACTGCAGAAAGTGAAGCGGATCGGGTAGGCAGGGACCCAGCCTAGCCTCCACCGCGACCGACGTCGCTCCCATTCCCTCTCACCTACCAACTTCATTGATATGGATGATGCGGTGGTAGCGAGGAGATCCGGAGGCCGCCGTCACGCGTAGCTCCAGTGGCACGAAGCTCGACGTGTCCGCGGTCGGCAGTGAACACCAGAAACGCACAGAGCCGCGGACTGTGGGTGCCTGGTGCAGGCGACATGACTTTCGTGACTCACCCCTGTGCGACCGGAGAAACCGAAAAGAAAAGGTTGGACAATCAGGGAGGGTAGGAGGTGACTGGAGAGTTTTTTTTTATCTCTTTTGCTCATATAGTGGAGACCACATTGGAGCGCCCCAATTCCAATGTCATGGACCGTTGATGGAGAATTATTCTAATCCTGGCCACCAGGGGGAGCCCTCCACCCATTCCCCCTTCCCGCCCCCGCCTGCCACCCTTAACCATGACTTCAGACCGGTGGAGACATTCCAGGTTATGACATTCAGGAAACTCTGCTGCCCCGATCCCCGCCTTAGGTCACCTAGTCCTGGGAGACTCACTCGAGCTGGTAAGAGAAGCTGTAGTTGAAGCCCATCCCGGAGCTCGTCGCTTCCTCCCAGAAACACACCAAGTCCTCCAATCGCTGGGTGAAGCACAGAAGTTCTTCGGAGCCCCGGGATGCCAGCAGGGCCGCTAGGGAGGGGGGTTGCCATGGAGCGGGGAGGTGGGTGGTGGTCAGGGAAGTCGAGGCCTAAAGTCCACAGCCCCCTAACCCTCCCTCCTGTCGCCTGTGCAGACCCGATAATTTTAGTGCCCCGCCCTCTTCTCCAAGAGGGCCTTCGAGGGGAGGGGTCTTGCAGAAGTGGCACCTCTAGAACTCCAGTAGCGACCCCGCCTGCTTTGCCCCAACCCCATGCACACGCCCACTCACCCTGCAAGTTGAGCGGTGCTGGCCCCGCCCTAGCGCGCGTGTGTGCAGAGTACTGGCCTCCTATCGGTCCCCGCAGGCACCCGGTTGCCTCTCGATAGCGCCAACCGTGTCCCCCGCCCCCCTTCCTCCTCCTAGCAAGAAGTGGAAGAGATCTAGCACCATCCGCCGCGCCAAACCGTGTTTACAGTCGCCTGCAGATGGGTCCTGTTCTCCCACTACCTTGTCCACTTCCCAGGACCACTGTGAGCTTGATCACTTCCAGCTAGGAGCTCTGATCTACTGGCCCTTCCCATTTCTACCACGACTCAGAGTCCCTCAAAACACAAAACAGAGCCAAAGGTGTCTGTCACCCCAGCAGTTGAGAGGTGGAGGCAGGAGAATCAAGTCCAACCTCAGTTACATAGTGAATTTGAGGGCAGCCTGAGCTACCATAAGACCCTGCTTCAAAAACAAAACAAAACAAAAACAGCACAGGCAGGGTG